TGTGGATGGCATTTGCCTCTCTCCTGAGTGGCCGCACAAGCTCCCGGCTTACGGGGAACACTGGTGGGATGGGGGGGGCTTTAGGCTGGCACAGGAAGTGAGTGACAGAAAGATTGGGCTGTGAGGTGAGCGAAGGAGCACAGCCCTGCACAGCTGAGAGCCACTGGCAGCCTCTGCAGAGAAGCCCAGGGCTGAATGGGTGGAGGGTGATTAAAGGCCTGGTCGTGGGTGGCTGCTGGTCAGGGGGATGCCGAGCAGCAGGGCCCATGGCGGCCCCTGGATTCTCGCTAAGACGGGCCCCCCGGTGAGTGGTGGGCAGCTTGCCGACTTACCTTGCCCGAACCTGGCCATCCTGTACACCTCCTCGGCGCCGCGGAACCCCAGCATCCGGCACGCCACGTCCCCGTCCTTTTTGTCCCAGCCGTCGTCGCACACCGTGCCCCAGCGCCGGTCGTAGAACACCTCCACCCGCCCCTCGTGGGGCGCGGAGCCGTTCACCAGCCGGAGCAGCGCCTCCTCAGCGCCGCCTGTCGGGGGCAGAGACGGGCACAGCACCGGGTGAGCATCAGCAATGGGGCCACCCCTCCCAAGCTCTCCCCTTTCCGGACACCCCCAGAGCAGAGTGACCCCGGACCTTCCGGCTGGGGGGCGAGCCGGCAGCATCCCTGCGGCTTACAGAGCCCGGCGTGCCAGTGAATTGCCCGGCACATCTTCCGCTGCCGGGCCCTCGCCTGCACCCACTGACGTCAACAACCGCGACCTCCGTGGGGCATCCGTGGGGCTCGCCGGAATCGATCGGCAGTGGAATGCCGGCTCCGCACAAGTCAAAGGCAGAACTTCCAACGACTTTAATGGGAGTCGGGTTTCACCTGGAGCAGGACTTTTCCTTTCTCTGCTCCCTTCACTCCCTTTCTCCGGAGCCCTCCTCTCCCACTCCCGTTGGCTCAACTGCGGCCTAGTTGGCAGGGGACAGTCCCAGGACCACAGCAGAGAACTCCACCCAAGGAAAAGACCGTCTTAGGCAGAGCCTCCGCAGGGCTATGATAACCAGTTGAAATAAACACCCCCCCGATCCCATTATCTGGGGTTAGAAATGGATCTGATTTGAATGGCAGAGAAGAGGCTCCGGGCAGCCGGATTCTCTGGGGGACTCACTCATCCACGTTTGATTCCATGGGCCCCGGAAAGTAGGAAACGGAGATTTTTTTTTCTTTTAAATCGCAGCTGGTCCACACTGTTTTCATGTGAATTTTTTTTTCCAATGGGGCTCTATCAAAACGGACACGTCTACAGGAAATGCTGACACCATTGGGGAGGGGGTACTAAAAAAGGTTGTGGTTTTTGTTTGTTTAAAAAAGTCATTTTTCAGCCAAAAACATTTTCAGATCCCAGACATTTTCTGTCAGACCAAAGCATTTTGCCCAGCTGACCTCTGGTCAGAACCATGTCCCACCTGGTTTTCCTCTCACACCTTGACCTCAAGAAGGACTGCCCCTTTAAGAAATGCGATTAAAAGGCTTTTTGGGTTGGCCAGGGCTGCTGCAATGGAATGCTAAACCCTATGACATAGTTTGGCCACTGGGAGGCACTGTGTGTAATGCTGGCAGAGCAGTAAAAGGATCTGATGATGAACAGCTCCGGTGTGTATAAGCAAGCTCTGCAGTCAGTCCTTATCTCGTACAGGAGCATGGCATGGTGTCAGGAGGAAACTAAGAACCAAAGCAGAAAGAAAACAGCAACACACGTTCACGTGCCACTCTTCAATGCCCCAGAGAACTTCAGCTTTGATAGACCTTCCGATGGACAGACTGGAAACAAGACTTTGCAAGATTTCTCGTTGCAAACAAGTTCCCCACAGAAAATGGAGAGATTCAGGTATCTTCTCTCATTTGTACTCGCTTTCCCACAGCACATCTTTAAATCCTTTTACTAAAGACAGTCACAAAGGCACTCTGAAAGGGTTCTGGCTATAAGAAATGGATTTATGGATGAGCATTTTTCACCAGAGAATTCAAGAACCGGGATAGGGGGTGGGAATGTTGAATATTTCATAAGAGCTCTGTATACCTTGGCTGAAAACTGTTTGTAGGAATGCAAAACATTAAAATATCAGAGACAGGCTGGCTGCTGGGTTCACAGATAGAAACCTTTCACAGCAACTACAACTGAAGACAGGGTTATCCTTAGCCACAGCTCTACGGACAGCACAGCAGTCAGGATCCGTTAGTTGAACAAAAGTCAGGAGCAACTTGAAAAACTTGGAAGTAGCTTAGAAGTTTGAAACAGAGCTTTAAAAGTCCTTGTGGCAAAACTCCCAAGGCAAGGACACAGAGCTCCCAGGTTGAGGGAGACAAACTCCACCTGACATGAAGAAGGTTTGAAAAAAGTCACATCCCAAGCGATGATGCACATCCAGACAGAAGCGCATGGTGTGATACATGCACAAAATGTGGACATTCTGCAGTTGCTTGCTGCACCAAAGCAGCCAAGGAGTTGATTCAAATTGAGTCAAGTTCTTCTTCACACAGGGCACAGTCAACCTGTGGAACTCCTTGCCAGAGGATGTGGCGAAGAGCAGGACTTTAAAAGGCTCCAGAAAGAACTAGACAGATTCATGGAGGTTAGGTCCATCAATACTTATTAGCCACAATGGGTAGGAACGCTGGCCCTGGCCTCTGTTTGTCAGAGGCTGGAAATGATTGACAGGAGAGGGATCATGTGAGGATTTCCTGTTCTGACATTGGCCACTGGCATTGGTCGGAAGCCAGGGCACTGGACTAGATGGACCTTTGGTCTGGCCTGGTGTGGCCGTTCTTATGTTCCTGTTACCGCACTGAATACTAGAGCCATTGTTTCTGGAACCTGTCACCTGTGATGACGGATCCTGCCTACAGACTGAAATTGAACAGTCTTGGCAAGACTCTTGACTTTAAAACTGGCTGGGGTGCTGACGTCACAGTCACCTTAGAAGGGACTTACAATCCCCTTCAGCCCCTCCCACAGAGCCGAAGTCACCAGACACAGCCATGGGCCAGGATGTCAGAGAAAACTTGACTTTCCGGCCACCAAACCCCCGCAACCCCACAGCCTGTCCAGCCACAGCACGGCAGCCACGAAGGGTCTAGTGGGGAAAGATGGAAGAACTGAGATGTAGATCCTGAGGAAGTGTGAGACCTCTTCCTCACTGAGGGAGATTTTCCCTTGGCTTGTAGCTGGAATAGCCCTTTCACCAGCCTCTGCCCTTGGTGAGCTATGCGGCTACGTCTACACTGGCATGATTTTCCAGAAATGCTTTTAACGAAAAAGTTTTCCGTTAAAAGCATTTTCGGAAAAGAGCGTCTAGATTGGCAGGACACTTTTCCGTAAAAGCCCTTTTTGCGGAGAAGTGTCCGTGGCCAATCTAGACGCGCTTTTCTGCAAAAAAGCCCGGATCGCCATTTTCGCCATCGGGGCTTTTTTGCGGAAAACAAATCTCTGCTGTCTACACTGGCCCTCTTGCGCAAAAGTTTTTCGGAAAAAGACTTTTGCCTGAATGGGAGCAGCATAGTTTTTCCGGAAAAGCACTGATGATTTTACATGAGATCGTCAGTGCTTTTGCGGAAATTCAAGCGGCCAGTGTAGACAGCTGGCAAGTTTTTCCGCAAAAGCGGCTGATTTTCCGGAAAAACAGGCCAGTCTAGACACAGCCGTTGTGTTCCTTCCCTCTGGGGCATCACGCATTGGCCACTGTGGGCAGACAGGACTCTAGGCCGGATGGACCTTTGATCTGACCCAGTCTGGCTGGTCTTATGTTCTTATGGAACTGTTGATGATATTGGACTTTTGAGAGGGAACAAACCAGCTTATGACACAATGCTGCGTTGTACCATGTGCCAACACCCTTCCCAACCTTGAAAGAGAGGAGTTGCAGGTTTATGCAAATACAGAGGGCCTCATGACCTGGTGGTAGTAGACTATTTATCCAGGCATGCAGGAACAGTGTACTTGAACAATATAACATATCGCCGTGGTATTGGGAGAATGACGCACACTTCTGCCCACTGGGGTAGTCCAGAACAACGTCTGCTGGACAGCTGACCCACTCGTCCTTGGAGCCAAATTTCAGTCACCCCCCAGCAAACGGAGAGACTGAGACAGCTGGACAGACAGCCAAGAAAAATCCCACAGTGGGAAGATCCATTCCCGCTCTTCTGAGTCACGGCTTGACGCCGCTCGCGGCGACTGGATACCGTCCAACACAAATCCTGATGGGCAGGCGATTCCACATTTCTGTTCCGACTTCGGAAAAAATTCTCTCTCCAGAGTGGTCTGCGGTGCAAAGAGTCACCAGGTCAGAGAACAAGGCTACCAGAGAGAACACTTTTACGACCTGCGTCACTCAGAGAGCTGGAGATGGTGTTCCTAGGACCAGGGAACCATGTGCGTGCCCCGCGGGATGGAGAAAAAGGATGGGCCAATCCCAGCGGGCCTAACACCAAAGGATCTGGCTCCCGGATCATGTGTCATGGAGGCCAAGGGTGGAGAGTTCGTCAGAAACCAGCAACCTCTCCCGTTCGTTCCTCCGGAAGAACAAGCAACAACGCAAACTCCACCGATGGTGGAGATGGACGGCAGGGACGACTCCTGGATCCCAAAGGGACCACAGTCCGTTGTGGCAACGAATGGACAGCCATGGGCTCATGTGGCTGCATGGGCGGACACGAGAGCCGTTTTCAGGTATCTAAAAGGGTGTCATAAGAGGAGGGAGAAAACTTGTTCATCTTGGCCTCTGGGGATAGAACAAGAAGCAATGGGCTTAAACTGCAGCAGGGGAGGTTTAGGTTGGACATTAGGAAAACGTTCCTAACTGTCAGGATAGTCAAACTCTGGAATAAATTGCTCAGGGAGGTTGTGGAATCCCCATCTCTGGAGATATTTAAGAGCAGGTTAGATAAATGTCTATCAGGGATGGTCTAGACAGTATTTGGTCCTGCCATGAGGCAAGGGGACTGGACTCGATGACCTCTCGAGGTCCCTTCCAGTCCTAGTATTCTATGATTCTATGATTCTATGTTCGGTTTGGGCAATTAGCAAAACAGGACGGTGCAGAGACATTTAACTGACCGGTCTTTACCGGGCTTCAAAGGCTCCGTGAGCGTGTAAATCCCTTACTTGAGCGAGCCTCCTCCTAGCCTGGCAGAGCATTAAAGGGTCTTATGATGAACACAGCTGGGATGTATACGCTAACTCTCTGGCTAGTCATCACCTGTCACGCTCAAGGAGATCGGTGCTTCCCGGGGAAACCAGCGGGCGTCAGACATCTTGAAACCATTCGCGCTTCAGCTCTGAGGACACCCGGCGAGCTCGTGGTTCTGGGAGCACCGGCTGTACGGCCTCGGATCCTCTTGCGAAGCAGCTCTCAGCCCAAAAAGAGGATCGTTTCTCGCTGCATCTCCTCTGTGGCTCGCAGGCTTGTGCCTTTCGCTCGGGGCATCTCTTCACTCCCGGGCCACCGTCGCACGCCACAGATGGGGCAGCTGGGTTTCAACCCACAGCCCAGCTGGAGGGGTTTGGCATGCCCAGCGGCTGGGGGTGGCCACAGGCAGGCCGGGCCCCCGAATGCCGGGAGGCGCCCGCTCGAATTGTCAAACAGAAGAGGAGCGGGAAGCACGTTGCCGACCTTTGCGGTTGCAAAAGTGGCGCGTGTCACCGGCCCGAGTAGGAGCCCCAGTGTGACCGTGGGACTCGCATCGGCAGGGGGGGGGTAGCCCCGGCTACGAGGAGGCCCCGT